TTCATGATATCTAAAAGCATTTTTACAAATAAAATTCCTCCGTTCTTTAAAAATAAAATTAAAATCGGAAAATTTTAATTTTAATTAAAAAATATGAAATGGAAGTAAGATTGCCGATATACGGAAAAAGGATTTGTGTTCATATAAAACAAGTATATATCTCTTTTTTTCAAGAGATCAGGCTAAAACTTGGAGGGTAGCCTCTCCATTCCCACGGTAAAGTCTTATTCTCTGCAACCTTAGGCCTAATTTAAAGAATTTGAGTCGCGGCTTTAATTTAAGCCGCGGCTCAAATATGATTGTTCCTTTTAAAATTGAATCCAATTTTTCAAGATTTAAGTCGGCGCTCAATTAAAAACCGGTTTTTGGCAGATTTAAGCCGCGGCTCAAATTCATTAATTTCGGACACTGGTTGTGGAAAACTTTGATATAACTACTAGTACTGAGACTTCTCGATTCATCAGAATTTAGAGTTGAAAATATCAAATGTCGACGATATAAGGTTGCAAAGATATAGAGATAAGAAAATTACAATTGGAGACGAGTGTTGTTGAGTTCTTTTTTGTTTTTGTTTCATAAACAAATAGATTTATTATTTAAATGAAAGAAGAAAAAAACAATATTTCTAAAACTCTATTTGTATAATTTTTTTTTTGTAAATGTAACAAATTAAAAGTACAAAATTTATTAGTCTTATGGATTTTAAAATGTTTAAATATGTAGAATATAAATGGACATTAATATTTGAACCTTAAAATTTTTTTATTTTAGAATTTTATGTGCTCATCACATCCTCCATTGTTAAAAACATGATTCTCCTCATTTATTAATTATGATGTAATTAAACTTCTAATGCTGAGCTTTCAGAGCAAAGAATTCCACAAGTTTTTCTGTGCGATTAATTGTTTCAGCTATAGGTTTTCACTAGATTTTTTTTTTGCAAAATTTGCGAAAACAATTTTTCTTGCACATGTAAGATAAAAATTTTATATTGAGCGAATTAAAAACAAGTATTTAAAATGTACGATAATTTTCAGGTAAGAAGAACCACATATATTTATTATTACAAAATAACAACAACAAATATATATATATATATATAAACAATAAACATAAATTTCTTTGGTTTAGTTACATTTTACATAAAATTCTGAGGTTGGATTTAATGAGTAACAAAAAGCAGTTTAACTCAGGTATTTCCTATTCAGGGTTACCCGCAAAGAATGAGCCTTCAGAGACGACTTACAGAATTTAGTTAGTCTATTTCTTTAAGTTTAATATTTCTTTTGCAAATCATTCAATATATCCCTAAAATCTTTATTTAAGGCAAAAACCTCCATTTAACCATCAGATCGTAAATTTGAAGAGCTTGTGGTCGACATTTAAGTCTCATCCTTTGAGGGTCACCCTGTACTTCTCTCACTGTTCATTAATTCCAATCTCTGAAGGCATTGCTTAAAAATATTTTTTACATTTATCACATTGGCACATGTATAGCGTATACGTTACATAAGCTTAAATATTTAAGCGTAAATTTTAAATTTTTAAATTCCTTTTAATTTTTATAACTTATTCCTTGTTTTAAAAATATAATATCTTTTTAGTTTAAAATCGTAGAATATAAAAATTTATCACAAAAGTACCAAAAAATAAAATATCAACGGTCAGTGACAAGTTGGCGAAAAAGATAGGGTTTGTGTACACATTTGAAATACAAATACAAAATATGGGATTACAAAGTTTTTAGGATAAAGAATGAGAAAAAGCCGTTTTTTATAATTTTTTAAAATATGGAATTTATGATTTTTAAGGTTAAATAAATAAGATACAAATTTCTAAGACCAAAATTATCTCATTAGTCATGAATAAAAAAGTATCTATAAATAAGAAAATGCAAGATAGAGTGTTTTGGATCCAGGAATAGGATACAGAACACTGCACATATATTGGATACAGAAATACAGTTTACACGAAACCATCAGCACATCTTTTGACAATATAAAATGTCTTCATCGACTTCATTTATTTTCAAATACATATTTTCTTTAATACAAAATTGAAATTTTTAACACGGAAATATGGGGTTTTATTTAGTTCATATAGGATTTGGGATTGTAAAAAGATTTAAAATTGAATCAAATAATTCAGATACTATCCAATTGTTGATTCAAGAACATCTTAGATACGTTTTAGATTATTTTTAGTATAATTTGCAGGGAGAGAGTCTTATAAACTATACATAACATGAAAAGCACTGACAATTCACGTGCAAGACGATATCATTTAAACCAATTTCTCAGATCAAATTGTGGAAGATAACGTCGTTATTCTAGCTTGCTTATTTCTTACTATAATTTCTCCAGAAATGCAGAATTATATACAAGTGGGATTAAGAGTAAACAAAGAATGAAAATAATCAATCTTTAAAAGAGAAAATTATGAATATCTCATGCATTTTCGATCATGTAGTATAGGTTTTTATTTAGTTTTTCAGAAAAAAAAAATTCTTTTCAATATTTCACATTTTTACTCTTCATGATATCTAAAAGGAAGAACTGAAAAGAACAAGGGCGTACACATGAATAGAGGTGTATAATAATTAGATTGGACATTGTTTTGATCCCCCCCCCCCACACTTTAAGGGTTGCACAATATTTATTTTAGAGTTTTAGTTGTCTGACTGGGGAAACTAAAGTAGTTTTGGCCAGGTAGAAAGTATTAAATAGGGCCAAAAATATGTCTTTTTCATTTTCTTCTCCAAATTTTTTATAAAACATAATACAAAATTATTTTTATGACACTTTGCAAAATGTTTGCTCTGTGAGCCTTCACAAAGGAAAAACAATCGTTCGTTCTTAGATTTCTGTATCGCCTTCTAAAGTCAAAACATCTACAAGTTTGAAACCAGACTAAACTTATATTTCCAATTTTAATGAAAATTTGAATACTATGGAACTATCGCTAGTAGAGTTGCCTGGTTTAGGATGTGGAAAGTTTAGAATTTCCATAATTGATATTACCAGACAGAAATATAGTTTATAAAAGGAGTTTAAATATAGGTTTCTGGAGACTGTTTTAACATTTTGATCACTCGTTCAGTTGGTTCAAGTCTTCAGACACAAACTAAAGTGGGGTAGGTCAAATAGGTCTATGATAGGCCGGGTACTGGAAAAAGTCTGGCCGTGGCAAGTTGGTCCGACATAGGATAGAGTCGGGATGGTACATCCTGCGCATCACTAAGGCCGGTGCAAGGGGTCGGGCTGGTACATGCTGTGCATCACTAAGGCCGGTGCAAGGGGTCGGGACGGTTTGAATTCAAATTGACCCTAATCAACTGTAGACACATCTAGTCCTTTTCTTCATTGTCTTTTAGGGGGTTCTCTAAGCACTTTACCAACCAAAATTTATAAAGATTAGATTAGATGGATATTTTATTAGATATTCGAAAGACTGAAGGTTGATTTTGATCGCTGAGTTGGTTTTTTGGTCCTCAAACTAAAATAAAATTTGTTATTATAACCTGTTTTTAAACCGTACAAGTTGAAACCTATTCAATGTGTTTAAAGGGACTGTTTAGAGGTAATTTCAAGTGACTCTCCATTTATAGAAATAAATAAATTTGAAATAGATCATAATTGCGATAAAATCTTATCCATTGTGAATGCCTGTTATACCTGGAGGAACGGGGTCTTTTGGACCCAACACTTTCAGCATCCAGACAGGTCTCCTCATCTTCCAGATTCTCCAGGTGATCCTCTGATGATCTTGGTAAATTGAAGCTAGATGAACCTTCGATTTGAAAATCCTTTAAAAGTAAATATTGAATTTATCAAAGTTTGTAAAATCGCAAACTCACAAAATCAGCAAAAATCTGCAAGATTTAAATCTTTATTTAAATGGGGTATATAGTCTTAAGGCAAAAAAAAGCGATTTAAGTCGCTACCATATAGATTATCAAGTACAATAGGTGGCGACAGAGAAATGGACCAATGATACACGACGTCACAAGTGTCAAATATAACAAGGAAAACTAAATTTTCTCACATTAGTTGACATGTTTTCCAAGATAAAAAAATGTAAAACCAGAAAATAAAAAACACTTATATAATTGCACTTATTTTACTGTAAGATTCGCACTTTATTCTCTAAAATTATCATTATTATTAATAATTTTGTCAGACACAAAAACTGACTTGACACTTGTGGCGTAAGAATACAGCTGTACTGAGAGTGTACAAATTCTACGTTGCCATCTATTGTACTTGACAATCTATTTGGTCGCTACCAATCTTACTTCTATCTGTTGCGTCTATAAGGATTAAATGGTTAAAAGCGACTCATACCAAAGAACGTAGCGTCCATACAAATTCAGAAAGTTGCAACATTCAACTCGGGTCGTAAAAAATCAATTTAATTCCAAACAAATTATCTAGATATTACAACCAATAATCATCGATTATTTTTCGACGCATATTTTTTATTTGTTACGGTGAGAGAGTTACTTTTGAAAACATTTATTCCTGTTTCGAGGATATTTGATAATGAAGGGGACATTTTCATATTTTCCAGGAATGTTCAAAAACCAGTGCCAGCGAAATATTATTTTAAAAAAACAAAATCAAAAATATTATGAAATATTAACTATATACGAATGCGTCCATTATCTCTATTGTTTCTGCAGGTCAACCTGCAGGAACAACAGAGTTAGTGGACGATGATCTTTGGGACGAGGAGGAGGAGAATAATGATCGTGACAGTTTAGCTGATTTGTGTACAGAATTCATCGATCAACCAATAATTCGTTTGCTTTTCATTTATTAATAAAGTATTGTTTCATGACTCGTGTAATATCTTTAGTGTGTAATATCTTTTGCGTTTTGAGTCAGGCATATATAGGTTGATTTACTCATATAGAACATTAACTTTGACTTTAGAGGGTATAAATTTAATATTTTCCTGGTTTGATAGAAGGCAGAGCTCCTCAGATTCTTCACAAATCAGTTTTGTTCCGAAACAGATGGAATTCGATCTAAATGGGCCAATTTTGTGATATTTACTGATGTTTAAACTACAAAAAATAGCAATAACATATTCATTATCCCCTGTGAGTGTATTTATGTTGATAAGGCTTTAAAAACTTCATAATTTTCATTTGTACCAATAAATATTGCAACTTAGGTAAAATGAAAAAAACACGGAAGTAACTCTTGTGTAATTTAATATATTTAAAACCTTGAGTATTGAGTATCTTAAATATCTAGATAATTTAATTTAAAAAAGATATTGGTTTATAATTAATTTATTAATTATCTTACATTCATTAAGATGGCTTACTGAGTAATAATGTAAATATTAAACCGGTTCAAAACAAAATGGCGCCTCCCTGAGGGATAGCCGGCTGACCAGTGAAGGTCTCCTATTGGCTCGAAATGAACAAACAGACCTCCTGGCGGCCAGAATCGGAACCAGATTGTAGTTCTCCAAACACTGTAGAGGCAAATGCTTGGGCTGCAATGGAAGAACTGCTGGAGATTTTAAGATCCTTCCTCCTCCATTGATGCTTATTCTACTTTCTATAGCATCTAAAATGCGGAATATTTTTCTTTTGGAAGATTTCATAGAAATGAAATTTAAAGATATACATATTATTTATTTACCAAAAAAAGGACATTTTGTAAAGAAGATGTAAAAACTATTTTTTTTATAAGTGAAATCCTACCTTTCTCTCGGTTTTAAAGCATAATTTTATGGAAAATTACCAGTTCTCTGTGAGTTTTCAGGTTGGTAGTAAACTGTAAGAGTTGAACAACTGTTTCTAAATAATAACAAAATATATAAATAATACATAACTTGAAAACCCAGCTTTGCCTAGAAACTAATTCTCTGTTTCAATTTCGAATCTTCAATCCAATCTGAGAACATTTTCGTGGTTCCACAGAATTCCTCAATCAAAAGTCAAACAGAGATTGCTACTTTATCCAGACATATAATAAAGCTCTTTACTTATAGTCATAAGATATATGTTCATATGTTAGCTATTATCTTAAGATATATGTTCATATGTTAGCTATTAGCTTAAGATATATATTCATACGTTAGCTATTAGCTTAAGATATATATTTATATGTTAGCTATTAGCTTATGATATATATTCATATGTTAGCTAATATTCTGGCTAAATGGTTTAGACCAAAAAGGATGAAATTATTTGAGGAAACCTTTGGTTTTAGACTTATTTCTTTTTTAAAGTTTTGAAATTTAACGAGGAAACGAAGAGAACTATAGTTAAAAACATGATTTGATAGCAATGATATAATGATATAAACCAGAGTCTAAAACTAAAGAACAAAAAGTTTTGACTTAAATTTTAAGTTCATGGTTAAATGCCACTTTTGACTTAATTTAAACCTGAACTTTAACCGTGAGGTTAAATATTTAACCCTTTGATTAAATATTTAACTCGCCGAAATCGACGAGTTAAAATTTAAACACAGAGGGTTAAAATCTTAAAATCCCGCAATCCCTATTTGTCTATCATCATTCAGCTGAGAAAGCGGCATTCAACTAATTACGGTATATTTAAAAGTAAAAACCTTGATTTAATAAATTTTACGTTTTAGATTAATTAATGTTTGCACGTAAACCCAAAATACGGTTGTAACTGGAAATATGTTTTTTTCCGTCACGTAAATAATTTAAACTTTAAAAAAACAGCTGATTACCAATAGTTACGTAATATCTCTCCGTTCCGTTTCTCTGATTGGTTCAGATTTTTCCCGGGAAATTCAAATTTAAAATTGAGAAAGTTAATATTTAAGTAGCTACTCATTATTTTACAGAACTTTTAACCTTGAACTTAAAATTCGCGCATTCTTTAGTTTTAGACTCTGGGCAATGCCGGGTTCTCCAGCTATATATATATAAGAACTAAAACACTGTGGAAAAATAGGAAAGATATGTTAATCCAAGAAGTATCTACAAAGTTTGTTTACAAGAAACATGTTCTGATGCAGTTTCTTGGAGAAATTTAAACTCACACTTAAATCCAAAGTTCTGGTTAGGACTGGAATGGCACGTTTTTGACAAGAGATTCCGTTAACTGTTAATTACCGGGGAAACCCGTTAATTTTAAGAACGCAGAACCGTTAAGTAATATAAACTCTCAAGCAAAAAAAAAGATGAGCATTTTACCAATCACTTCTTTAAAACTAAAGCTAACAACAAGTGCTTTATTACAATAAAATTCTTGTGTAAAAGGCTACAGCAAAGCATTTATAGAGCCGTAAAATCAAAGCCAAAGGCGTTGCGACACTTCAAGTTGATAAAACTTTTTATATTTAGGCAAAATCTATGTGAACGCCGTTAATTTAATTAAGAATGTTATAAAACGGCGACTTTCAGATATTGATGCGAAGACCGAAAACTGCAAGGAACGAATGCCGGAAAGTCTGATGTTCCATTATTTTAATTAAGTGTTAGTTAAAGGGAGTGTTCGTGAAAAATGAAAATTGATCGATGAATTTCCAAATTTCTATGAAAAAGTAAATTTATTTTGAGGCAATATATCATAAATCGTTTGAGTGACCTCAAACAAAATTTGAGCCTGATTGGATTATATGTTTTGTTTTTTTGACACAAACCAACCAATGCTAGCAAACAACCAAATATCCCAACAGTCAAGCTAAAATACATAAATATATTTACTTACTTGAGTTTGAGGAGTTGAGCCAGTTCAGCTCTAAACTGTGATCCTGCCAGACAGTAGATAATAAAGTTGACAGAGGAATTCAGAACAACCGTATATCTTGCTACACTATCAGCACACCACTAGAACAAGCTGATTATAGTTTAGAATATATCTTGCTACACTATCAGCACACCACTAGAACAAGCTGATTTTAGTTTAGGACACATCTTGCTACGCTATCAGCACACCACTAGAACAAGCTGATTATAGTTTAGAATATATCTTGCTACACTATCAGCACACCTTTAGAAAAAGCTTATTATAGTTTAGAATAAAGCTTCCTATAATATCAGCACACCACTAGAAAAAGCTGATTATAGTTAAGAATAAAGCTTCCTACACCATATCAGCACACCTTTAGAAAAAGCTGATTATAGTTTAGAATATATCTTGCTACACTATCAGCACACCACTAAAGCAAGCTGATTATAGTTTAAAATATATCTTGCTACACTTTCGGGAGACCACTAGAACAAGCTGATTATAGTTCAGAATAAATCTTGCTACACTATCAGCACACCACTATAACAAGCTGATTATAGTTTAGAATATATCTTGCTACACTATCAGCACACCACTAGAACAAGCTGATTATAGTTTGGAATGTATCTTGCTACACTATCAGCACACCACTATAACAAGCTGATTATAGTTTAGAATAAATCTTGCTACACTATCAGCACACCACTATAACAAGTTGATTATAGTTTAGAATATATCTTGCTACACTTTCGGGAGACCACTAGAACAAGTTGATTATAGTTCAGAATATATCTTGCTACACTATCAGCACACCATTAAAACAAACTGATTATACTTTAGAATATAGTTTCCTACACTATCAGCACACCATTAGAACAAGCTGATTATTGTTTAGAATATATTTTGCTACTTTATCAGTACACCATTATAACAAGCTGATTATAGTTTAGAATATATCATGCTACACTATCAGAACACCACTAGAACAAGCTGATTATTGTTTAATATATATATTATTTACTATTTACACTACAAAAACAGTTTTAAAGAAAAAAAGATTTGACAAACATTGATATTTTTGGTGCTAAACAAGGGATTTAATCCGTCGTCTTTGCAATAAGGACAAAGATCAGGGAGCAAAGGTAATCGGTCGGAGAAAGGTTAGCGTATAGAATGCTGATAGGCAATGTGTACAGGGAAACTGTACAGTCCCCTCAAAATTTGACGAAAAGGTCAACATATACTTATAAAGAAGAGGGGGATTTTTGTAGGCGTTATTTTAATTATGAATCAAAATTTAGAGAATAGTTTTTAAGCCTTTGTCCATGCAAAGACGATAGATTACATTCCGTCGAATCGGTACTATAACCTTTCTCTGGGGCTAGACCATAAATACGGAAAATGTGAAAATTCCTCTTTGAGGCGTGTGTGTAAAAAAAGAAATTTTGCAAAAATTGCACAATTTACTTTGTTTGTCAAGCTAGGCTTTCTGAAAAGTTAAAACTGGAAGAATTTAACTAGCAGAGTGAATCAGAGGTTTAGTTCGATAGAGTATAAAGAATAAAAGATACTAACCTGCCAGGTTGGAGTATAGAACTTAGTGTTTGTCATATAACAATCGAAGATAAGACCGATCCTAAACAAAGGAATTTAGTCTTTGCCACAAACCCAAAATCTCTAATCCCTTTATCTTTTAAACATAATTGTCTAAACCTTTGCTATTTTAATCTTAGTTAATTGATCAAACAGAATTTATAGTTTGACGAATCTAAGGTCTACGACACTGCATGGGTTGATTAAAGACATAGGGATTGGAAAATTTGTGGCAAAAACTCAATTTCTTTGTTTGTGAAAAAAAATAATTGCCAGAATCCGAGAATCCAGTTTTTTTAGAAAGAAAAAAAACGTTATTTTTCTCTTTTTTACAGATAAATATTTAAAGAGCATTTTTTAATCAGGCATCTCATTATTCACATTTTAAATCAGATGGTTTTTCTGAAAACATATTTAAATTGAGGAATCCAACCAAAATGTTACAAATTTATCAGAAAACATGATTGCTTGCACCTTTAAATAAAATGTTAAAAACTTTTAACAATCGAATTTTACGAAAATTCTGATTAAACTTACTTTGAGACTTCATGAAGCCCAATGAGAAGCCTTGGAAGGTTTAAGAATAGGAAAACTAGAACTAAAATACAGCAGATTCGAGCCAAACTGAAATCCTTGGCTCGTCTGAAAAAAAGTGGTAAAATTATCCTGAAATGCCGTAATGTTCCTTTCTATATCTTTAGACAGTATCGAGCCCCCTTCCCACAACCTCCCCAGTCCTTCCTAGAGTTTCTTATTTTCCATTTTTAAAATGCAAACCATGAAGTGAACTTCTTGTAATATTCTTATATACGCCCGAAAATAAGCTTTTGGTGCACAATGCAGTGATCTACACCTACAGTTATCTAACCGAATGCCTAGTGGGTTCTAGTGGGGAGTGAGTAGTCGTCACACTAAAATTAAAGTTTACGGAACTAATCTTCCCATAAATTATTGATTCAGCAGTCGCACAAAGTTTTATAAAGCTTTTAGGAATTAAAGGTTTATTCGAAGTTCATTAAAGAAAAGATTTGTTTTTGTTTTGGTTTTGTATTCTTGAAAAAGATTCCGTACGGCCATCACGGAACCAAAATGATCCGTAAATATTGGCAATGGCAATTGTTGGATTTCCGGCTGCCAACCAATTAGACAGAAAGAGGTTAAGAATTCGGCCTCTACGAGGACTAAGAATTCGGCCTCTACGAGGACTAAGTGAGCCTCGCATTTTTATTACTAAACCCAAATATATCAAAGTATTCGAAAGATAGAACTGTTTTAGATTGATCGATCAAAACGTTAGAATTTCTCCAAAAATATTTTTAGGAAAAAATATTTAAAAAAAAAGAAAAATCTTACCCTCTTGATCCATTGAGTCTGGAGTGTGGGATTCTGGAGTGTATTCTTAACAAACATCATTTCACAATTATTAAGAAAGTTGGATATAACAATGCTAAAGATAATATAACAATTCAGTCAATATAACCTCATCAGACCTAAAAAATGCAACAACGCCAAGTATATGCCGTTAACAGTAAAAAGTGCAATTTTTATAGACAATGGACAATAGAGATGCATTGTTAAATGACACTTTTATTAGATTTGCCGTCAAAATATTTATCATGTTTATTGTGATATTTTTATGTTGCATTTTTTGCAGTTTCGGACTCGGAATCAAATAATAAAAAATCTAAAAACAGTTTTTAGAATATCTCTGTAAAAAAATCCAGGTTTATAAGGGGGGGGGGGATGAATACTCCATTTTCTAATTACTGAAATAAAAAAAAAATTTAAAGGTTCTACAGGGGTTCTCTGTTTATTTTATGAATAATCAAAAAATAACATTTCAAACAAGATTTCGTCAAAAGTGTGCAGCATTAATGCAATCTGTTTCTTTTTGATACAAAATATTGGAATCCAATAACTGGAAGTAGGGGTGAAATGAATTTTAAGCATTTTGCCCAATAACCCTTCAATGCAAACAAGGATGAAGGAGAGGGTCATATTTATGCGATATTACTGCGGAGCCCGCGATTTAAAAGCTTCGGCTAGTGGCGTAATTCCTTGAACCCAGCATTAAGACTCAATCTTAGACAAAACTCTGACGACAGCTTGTGTCATGTGATTGACAGCTGCGAGATCTTAGGCTCGACTTACGGAGTTAGGTCCAATGAAAATAAAACCGACCTTTCTTGGTTTTTGTAATAAGGCTCAATGTTGAGTTTTGTTCTCATCAAAACCCTGAAATCAAACCATGAAATCCGCAAAATACAAAATTAAACCCGGTTTTCTGTGGAAAATTAGATGCACCTTAAACCAGAAAGCCCGAGCCTTAAATAAGGCCCAATAACAGATCAGACCTGTGTCGTATTTTCTTGAATTTTTTAAATCGCCAGGCTCTGGTAAGTCTTAGTTACCTTGTTGCTTCTCCAGTTTTGATTTTATATAAAAAAAAATTTAAGAAAAGCAAATTTATCTGGTTACATAAAAGAAATTAATCTTTTTTTCTTCTCAAGCTATTAAAAGAAAAAGGTTATGATTAAAAACATATAAGATTTCCAGCTTACGCGTAGTTAACTTTAGCTGGACGTGCAACTTTAAGCAACCTTCCTCCCTTGTTTTGTGGAAAAATACGTTTTTAGATATTTTGAAAATTACTTTTTTCAATCTTGTTCTTGCGGATTGATCAGTCATTTAAAGTTATAAAAGACATATAAATTGTGATTTATTAAGTCTAGAACTTATTACGTCAAAAGACAGTCAGAGAACTGCTCCAGCGTATACAGTTACCTCCAATTAAGAAGAGAGAGAACGATTAGTGGTGCAAGCCCAGTTGTAGTCAGAGGGTGCATAATCTAAATATATCATAGTTTTCAATATTCAAATCATAGTTTTAATATTTATATATCATAGAATTGCATATTTATATCATAGTTTTAAATATCTTAGTTTTTTTTATATTTTAGGTCATAGTTTTCAACATTCAAATCATAATTTTCAATATTCAGATTATAGTTTTCAATATTTAGATCATGGTTTTCAATATTCAGATCATAGTTTTCAACATTCAAATCATAGTTTTCAACATTCAAAGCATAATTTTCAATTGTCAGATCATAGTTTTCAACATTCAGATCTTAGTTTTTAATATTTAGATGATAGGGTTTTTGATTCAGATCATAGTTTTAATATTTAGATCAAAGCTTTTAATGTTTAAATCATAATTTTCAATATTCAGATCATAGTTTTAATATTTATATTATAGTTTTTAAAATTATATATATATATATATATATATATTTAATATTTATATATCGTGGAAGGATGAATGTGCTGCCAGATTTCAACCCCAGGTAGATCAATAAAAAACATCACCCAGAGAACCTCTCCACCTTTCGATTTTATGACTTTCATTTTTTTGTGTTAACAGTCCGTACCTGATAGCCGATATAAAACCGAACATACTCTGGGCTGGACTCTAACGAGCTGTCAATTCTGAATATAAATAGAAATAACTTGAGGTAAATATCAACATTCTATATATTAGCTGTCATACTGACTTTCCACGTGGATTTGACGGTTCTGTCAATATTTCAGAAAACTGTGACTTTCGATCACAATTTGACCCCTTTTACATACTTTAATAGCCTCTTATCTTAAATATTTTTTTTTTTCAAATAAAAGAAACCGAATGCTTCTCTCTCTCATTAGTTCTAGATATAATTGAAGTTGGCACGGTAAGTTTTTTTGGAAAAGAATTCAAACTCTTAAAAATGAGCAATTTATTAAATTATGATTTATGTTGTTTTAACCTAGATACATGTTGCATGTTTTGTAGGGCACTCAGTACCTGCATTTAGTTGCCATGTTTATTGCGATACCCATGTACTTGTTGCCGTGTTTATTGGGATACCTTGTATTTGTTGCCGTGTTTATTGGGATACCTTGTACTTGTTGCCGTGTTTATTGGGATACCAATGTACTTGTTGCCGTGTTTATTGGAATACCTTGTACTTTTTGCCGTGTTTATTGGGATACCCTGTACTTGTTGCCGTGTTTATTGCGATACCCATGCACTTATTGCCGTGTTTATTGGGATACCTTGTACTTGTTGCCGTGTTTATTGGGAAACCCTGTACTTGTTGCCGTGTTTATTTGGATACACTGTACTTGTACTTAATTTCCATATTTATTGGGATACACTGTACCTGTATTTAGTTGCCATGTTTGTTGAGACACCCTGTACCTGTAGATAGATATTTGCATGTATTTTGGGACACTCTGTGGTCTGTTCCTAGATACCTGTAGTGAGAAACTATCCTAGGAATATTGAAGAGTAAAGAAGCAACAAGAGAGGGAGCTAGGTACAGCAGAACTAGGCTGAGGTGTCCTCTGTACAAAGAGAATAGAATATATATTAGAGGGGAATTTAAAGAATCTCTCGGTATGAATTTTTTCAGTCCCTTTCAGCCTGAAAGGGAGATTAAAGTGTACAAATCATGTAAATGTTCAAAAATTATATGCAGTATAGAGTACATTAATACAGTATGTTCCCTAGAGTCTAGACTATTCATTTCAATTTCGAATTTTTTAAACTGTTAAATAAACTTTATAATGAATTAGGTGAATAAAAACATCATTTATAGTTATAACGGAAAATCATCGTTTGTAAAGTGGAAGGCATAGAGTCTATGTGAAATGATCATAGTAATAATAATAATAATAAATATAATCATGATCATAATACAATACAACATAAATGATAATAATAGATAGTATGAAAAATTGTAAATTCATCTTGAAATATTGATGAATGACAATGCATATTGCGCTACGTTGTTTTGTGTATTTGCAGTTTTTTCTTTTAATATTACTCTGTCAGGCTTTCCTTGCAATTGATGATAAAAAGCCTGGAACTTATACAAAATTCATTTCATGTGATTCAAACTAGCTGTTTTAGTTTGTGGAACATGCAATATTTGTGTGTTTTAATTTCTCATTTGCAAAGATATAAAGATAAGAAAACCAGAGATTGATGTGCATTAAGTTGGTTCTTTTTGTCAGATATATTTTCTTTTCGAGTTAGAATTTAGCAAAGTGTGAGAAAAGTGTTTTGCTGAAGATTTGCCTTTTTTACACTACATGCCACATGTTTACACTTTTATTTACTTACTCACTTCATCGTGAATTTCATAATAAATGTGCTATAAAGTAATCATCGTGCTTTACCATTGAAATCAACTTTATATTTTGACTTCTGCTTTGTTTCAAAGCTTATTTGATCTAGAAGTAGCCATTGAAATAAGAAAAGTACACAAACGTTTCATAGAATTACCTATAACACTATTATTTTGGCACGACGTGCTTTAAAGTTTTTGGACTTAAATTTTCTCTATATCTCGAAGGTTTTCGCCTTTTTAGATTATATTTTGTCCCTTGCTTAGGCTCGGGACAAAATAAAATCTGAAAAGGCTTGAACCTTCTCGATTAAGAGAAAATGTTTGTCCAAAAACTTTATGACACTGCGAACCAAAACAACAGTCTTATAAATTATTATTAAGATAAAAATATTCAAATGTAAAATAAAAGCAAACTTTAAAAGAATTTAGTTCTTAAAAATTGTCGTTGTTTTAATAAAGTCTAAAAAAATAATCAACGTAATTAACAACATTAGCTAAGAAAGTCATGCTAAAAAAGGTTTCGAATTAAAAAAAATTGTCCCACAAATGTGTCATTTATTAACCTTTCAATGAGCCTAGCAGCATATTCTGCTGGATTGTGAACTGAGTGATAGCGTTCTGCTGTTATACCAACTGTTAGGAAGATACTCAGTGCTAGACCTAACAAATCAAGAGTTTAGAAGGAATTCCAATCGGAATTCAATAAATTTTAAACTACAGGGTGTCCCACAAAACTTGACGAAAGAAAAACGATTTAAAGATTGTCTTTGATCATAGAAATAATTTTCCATCTCAGTTTTGAACTTGTCACAAACTTGGAATAAAAATTGTCAAAAATGTCGACTTTTTCATCCCAGTTTTGAACTAGTCAAAACCTTTAGTTCCGTTTGTTCAATGTTCATGACTAGTTCAGAACTGGTATTTAATAGTAGATTTTTTTACACGTTTCTGAGCCGAACAAAAGGAATAATACTCGAAAGAGGGAAATAAGGCGAGTTGGCAAGGAAAACACTCTTTTCTACCAGACACAGATAGATGATAACTTCTTGAAAAAGTATATTTCAGTAACGAGGTTTCCTACTAAATACAAATTGTTATTGGCGTACATGCATATAAATAATAATTGTTAATAAAGATTAAACAGTTGAAGGTTTTTATCAATAAATGAGTATTGAACAATTGGTTTAGAAACATGTACCATTGAGAATTGAACAAAGGCTTAAAGGTATTGGAATTCTAGGTTTTGTAGGTTTAGCAGGATTGGAGATTTTAGGTTTAGTAGGTTTAGCAGGATTTGGGGATCATATTTTATTGCTGTTGTGAATCGATAAATAAAGGGTTTAAAGGCACTGTTGTGAACTGATAAATAAAAAGGTTTAAAAGGTACTGTTGTGAATTAGGTATATGGAACTTACAATCTAGAAAACTGTGTTAGGCCGAAAAGTTGTTTGAACTGAAGTCTAAAGCAATTTAATTCTTCTGAAATGAATATTTATCTGGTTAAAGTAATTTCACTGTTTATTTGTAAATGAATCACTGAAAATTAGGTTTAAATTCGTTCTTTTAATGCACGTTAAGTTCCATGAGGTTTTTGTTTATATTACTCGAAAGCCTTGAAAAGGTTTGGTTTGGTAAGTGGACGGAGGGTTCAACGGAGATAAAGTTTGTCGGAGACGACCTTACAACAGGGTAAATTTGAGGGGTATGGTTCACAACGTTATATTGCAAAGATTTGCTTTAAAAGTTGACTCAAAGATGTTGCCCACCAGGTGTCTCTGTATACATTTTACTTAAAATCATAATTTTTTACGTTTCTGATTTTTTTTCTGGAATCAATATGTAAAAAGAATTATTTTGAAAAAATTTGGAAAACATTGATGTTATCTGTTTACTCAATGTTAGTAAATTTTATGAAATTTTTGATAAATAGAAGTTTCACTACAGTATGTAGTATGTATAGAGTGAAGTAAAGAGTAGATGCTGCGTGTGAGTCCTGATTAATGATGTTTGATTGATAAAAAAATATTGATATGGACGATGAATATGTATTGTGCCAATATTGATATGGACGATGAATGTATATGGGTGTGCCAATATTGATATGGACGATGAATGTATATGGGTGTGCCAATATTGATATGGACGATGAATATGTATGGGTGTGCCAATATTGATATGGACGATGAATGTGTATGGGTGTGCCAATATTGATATGGACGATGAATGTGTATGGGTGTGCCAATATTGATATGGACGATGAATATGTATGGGTATATCAATATTGATATGGACGATGAATGTGTATGGGTATACCAATATTGATATCGACTTTACCTCAACTTTTAAAGTCGACTTTTCTCAACATGAAAAGTCGATTTAAACTTGACTTTAAAAGTTGACTTTTTGCCAACTTTAGAAATCTCGTCCATAAGTGGTATGATAACTCGTCCAAAAGTGGTATAAAAAATCAGTCTAAAGTTGAGTTGTGGAACTACTATTTACGAGTTAAAGTCGATTTAAAGTTGACATTCTTGGAGTAAAAAGTCGATTTAAAGTTGAGTTTAAGCCGACTTTTGTTCCCCGGGTTGTTTCAGAATCATACATGTTAAAGTAGGTTGACAAAGGCGCAAATTGTTTAAAAAATCAAAGACAACATTCAAGTGGTCTTCCTTTTGTCAAGTTTTGTGAGACATCCGTTAGGAAAGTCTCATGTTCATTGGATTTTTCTATTTCAGAGTTTTCTGATTCTCACTGTAATCAAATGTTCAAAAGTTCAGTAGTTTACTTTTTGTCTTTTGAGTGTTACTCCTGTTGGATTTCAATGAGTCTTTCAATTACGTAAGTTATTCAGTTTTCGAACAAGGCTCATTGCAAGGACCAAAACATGTTATTTTTGTTGACAAATTGATAATCTTCATGCACAGAAAAACACCCTATTACAGAAAATATATTTGTGTAAAAGCAGCAAGAATTTTGGATAATGTTATTTGGTATATATAATCATTTAGATTCTTTGTAAACAAGAATTCTCCATTTAAAACTTAATAAATAATACTTTAACGAAAAAGAGGTTTTCGAAAATCTCGAAAGAGTTCGTTAACGAACTGAAAAAAGCAGTTAATTTTTAAATAAAACAAAAACGAAACGAAGAGGTTTTTAAAAACGGCATCTTTATTATTTGTGTGCTAAAATAGCATGAAACTTGAATCAACCACAAATATTTTTTGTGTATTTTGAAGTTTTTGAATGAGTTCATAAATCCGATTTAAAAAACTGTTCAGGATTTTTTATGGAAATGTTGGAGGTTTCGCGAACAATCACGCCGTTAATACTACAAACAACCATGAACTGCTTTGTGTTTACAATTTGACATACGGTTTATGAAATTTTGTTTGCGCTGTGCGCGATTTCTGCCATTTATTAAAAAAAAAAAAATTAACATCGGAATATCTTCTGTTAATGCCATTAAGAAAATTGAGATTGTTAACTAACAGTAACTTATTTTTAAAAATGGAGAATTTCCATAAGGAAACGATTGTTCCCTAAAAACTAGGAGCTACTTGAGATTTCTTCTTAACGGTTGGAACTATCCTTTCACGAAATTGCTAGAAAAAGTAGAAACGAGTCCAATCGTTTAAGTGACTCTAGATGCAATTTTAGAAATGACCTTTAGCTGGACTCGGTTTTAGTTTAAACTAACCTTTTCTGTTTTCATGATTAAGCTTTAAATCGTTAAGGGAAGACTTGAACACAAAAGAAAATGCTGTGGAAAATATCGCATATTTTAGCTGATAAACGATCTCTGTAACTCTCCTATCTCTGGTTGGACCAAATCAAGATAGTCAATTAGGTATCGCAACGAGGCTCGCACAAGAATAAAAGGTCGATCTATCTATCCCAAAACAGTTCTAGGACCCTTGTCCTTTCCTCTGTGTCCTGTACAGGGTTATGACGTAGGCAGCAAATAGAAGCTAGAATCACTAGAATTGAATGAATACCTTACCCTGTTCCAGTACCCATGGACCAAATGAATTATCCACTTCTAGAGAGAAAACTATGCCATCAATTCTTACACGGTTGACTAGTGGGGTCGGTCAAGTAGGCCTAGGATTAGGCTGGGTACTGTAAAAAGTCTGAACGCGCCATGGGAGTTGTCATACTTAGCCCTCCGACGGGACTACGCCAAGAAAATTGACCCCTGTAGTATGTTAGTCTGGTTAGGGCGACGTACTGTACCATAGGATCGGGTCAGTACACGCTGTTATCTGGAAACCTGGTACAAACTGGGCAGGTCCTGTTCGAATTCAAATTCACAACGGTCCAGAGTGCTATGCACTTTGAAAAAACTTACAAAAACTTACTGAGGTGAGAAAGTATCTCAGCTGATGGGGCCAGATTCTCCCAGATAAAATGTTTCATGCCGAAGGACAGTGGAGTCAGTAAAAGGTTACTAAATAAACATATATTAGAGTTCTCTGTTCTACTTTCTATGTTATATATTCTATATTTTATGTTCCATGTTCTATGTTCTATGTTTTATGTTCTATGTTCTATGTTCTATGTTTCATGTTCTATGTTCTATGTTCTATGTTCTATGTTCTATGTTCTATGTTCTATGTTCTATGTTCTATGTTCCGTGCTCCATGTTCCACGTTATATGTTACATATACTATGTTCTATGTTCCATGTTACATTTTCCAGGTTCTATATTCTATATTCTATATTCTATATTCTATATTCTATATTCTATATTCTATATTGCAAATTCTATATTCTATATTCTATATTCTACGTTCTATGTTCTGTGTTCTATGTTCTATGTTCTACGTTCTACGTTCTACGTTCTCTGTTCTATGTTCTATGTTCTATATTCTATGTTTTATGTTCTATGCTCAAAAATAAGTTATATATTGTACATCGTGACTTTATATAATTAATTTTTAAATCGAGATTATTTCTTTAAATTTAAATTTTGAAAAATTGCCTGATTATGAAGAGTAAATCAGCAATACAGAGACAACAGAGTAAATGAGTAAACACATTCCTCATTGATCTTCAAGTAAAAAATGTATTAATATATTTCTTTTATGTGAAAGGAATAGGGTTAATAGACGATTATGAGCTGATTTTTTAAAACAAACGATCACGAACAGACTTTTTTTTTACGATCATGAACAGATTTTATAAAATATACGATCACGAACAGATTTTATAAAACATACGATCATGAACTTATTTTATAAAACATACGATCATGAACAAGTTTTATAAAACATAGGATCATGAACAGATTTTATAAACATACGATCATGAACAGATTCTATAAAACATACGATCATGAACAGATTTTATAAAACAAACGATCATGAACAGACTTTTTTTACGATCATGAACAGATTTGATAAAATATACGATCATGAACAGATTTTATAAAACATACGATCATGAACTTTTTTTTTAAAACATACGATCATGAACAGATTTTATAAAACATAGGATTATGAACAGATTTTATAAAAATACGATCATGAACAGATTTTATAAAACATACGATCATGAACATATTTTATAAAACAAACGATCATGAACAGATTTTATAAAACATACGATCATGAACAGATTTTATAAAACAAACGATCACGAACAGACTTTTTTTTACGATCATGAACAGATTTTATAAAATATACGATCATGAACAGATTTTATAAAACATACGATCATGAACTTATTTTATAAAACATACGATCATGAACAGATTTTATAAAATATAGGATCATGAACAGATTTTATAAACATACGATCATGAACAGATTTTATAAAAAATACGATCATGAACAGATTTTATAAAACAAACGATCATGAACAGATTTTTTTAAGCGTGACTATCCGGAACATAATAATTTAAATATTCTTTCATGATTTATTATATATAATTCTGATGTCGTGAAGTTTAAGGAGCTTGTTTTTTGGAAAATAATGTAAGCGGATCCTATTAGAAACATGATCATGGAAGACAGATATTTTATGCAGGAAAAGAGTGTAAACACTTTCATAGCTAGCCAATGCAATGCTTAGAGTTCAGAACTTTTGAGTTGGAATTTCGGGATAAAGCATTGATCAGGCTCTACCTTATTCAGACCTACGGATTAGGTGGATAACATTAATTTATCCTCACATTTAAAATTGGATATCAAGGTCAAGCTTATCCTCACATTTAGAATTGGATATCAAGGTCAAGCTTTCAAGATTAAGGATTAACACAATTGATCGCGACCAATTTTAGTTCTATTTGATGTCCCTGTCTTGAGAAATTGATATAAAACAGTGTCATAGTTATACAAAAACTCACATATACGTAATATGGCCGACGAAGCCACGTGAACAGATACTGCACTGCCACTGGTGGAAATTCTGGTCACATGATACAGACATAACAATTATATTATCAATTCTATCCATTAAAAATGAAAAAGTATTATATTCGAATCATAATAGGAGCGTACCTAAAATTTTTAGGCACCTAAAATATTCTTTGGTATTTTTGTCAAATTTTACCTTTTACAGAGAACCAGCAGGCTCAGAGAGTTCCCAACTAGACCCAGTATTCCAGTACATGATGTTAGTACACCAGATACCCAGTACCTCCATACCTAGTACAATACAGTACAGTACAGTACACTACAATACAGTAATCCAGTTCATTATGTTAGTACACCAGATACCCAGTACCTCCATTCCTAGTACAATAAAGTACAGTACAGTACACTACAGTACAGAAATCCAGTTCATTATGCTAGTACACTAGATAGCCAGTACCTCAATACAAAGTACATTACAATATGATAGTCCAGTACATTATGTTAGTACACCAGATACCCAGTACCTCCATACATACTACAGTACAATACAGTACAGTAATCGAGAACATGATATTAGTACACCAGATACCCGGTACCTCCAAATCCAGTACAGTACCAGTACATTACAGTAAAGTATTCCAGTTCATAAAGATAGTACACCAGATACCCAGTACCTCCATACCTAGAATAATACAGTACAGTACAGTACAGCACAGTACAGTATAGTACAGTACAGTACAATACAGTACAGTACAGTACAGTACAGTACAATACAATACAGTACAGTACAGTGCAGTACCGTACAATACAGTACGTACAGTACAGTACAGTACAGTACAGTACAGTACAGTACAGTACAGTACAGTACAGTACAGTACAGTACAGTACAGTACAGTACAATACAATATAGTACAGTACAGTACAGTACAGTACAGTACAGTACAGTACAGTACAGTACAGTACAATACAATATAGTACAGTACAGTACAGTACAGTACAGTATAGTACAGTACAGTACAGTACAGTACAATACAATAAACAGTACAGTACAGTACAGTACAGTACAGTACAGTACAGTACAGTACAGTATAGTATAGTACAGTATAGTATAGTACAGTACAGTACAGTACAGTGCAGTACAGTACAGTATAGTACAGTACAGTATAGTATAGTACAGTATAGTACAGTACAGTACAATACAGTGCAGTACAGTACAGTATAGTACCGTAAAATACAGTGAATTACAGTCTTTACAGCTTGATACTTTGACTGACAAAGATTAGGAACATCTAGGGATGTTAATGTTTTTAAAAGCTATATTTTTTTTAAAGTTCGTTTTTAAAGACAGTCCTTTTTTAAACGATCGTTTTTCAATACGATTGTTTTAATAAAGCTTGTCATTTCGTTAACGATTGTTAAAGACAACCCTTCGTAAACGATCGTTAACGAAGAGAGGAGGAGAAAGGAAACCGACCTGAAGGGCATCGGTTCTTATCATTGAGTAGTGTTTAAGAAAATATCAAGAAGTTTTAGCCCCCCCACAATTTTTTACCTTCATGTAAGACCACATTGGATAAAGTTGCATGTCATTTTTTTTCAAAAACGATAGTTTTTTTCAAAAACGACCATTTTCATAAAGTTCTTCTTTAGTTAACGATCGTTAACATATTTATCAATGACAATTTTTTTTCTCCAAAAACAATCGTTTTTTAAAAGCATTGGAATAAAAAACGGTCGCTAATCGTTTTTATAAAAACGATCGTTTTCAAAAACAACCATTTTCAAAAACGATCCTTATCCTTTTTTTAAAGTTCAAAACGAGTGGGTCCTTTTTAAAAACCATAGGAACATCTCATTATCCGTTTATATATCTATGTTTCTATGTTCAAAGAAAGAAAAATAATAATGTTGTCAAATTACAAATATGTAGGATATAATTGATACAGAAACTGAAATGAATACTTGGTACTTGATATTCCGGTTTTATACAAATAATGATAAAAGAAAACAATTTATCTCCAGGGTTCCAGCGTCTTATTAGATTTTAAAGGGATTTGTGACGAATTTCGAATCTGACTCTTGGTTTAAAGACAAAGGTTTACAGGGAATTCTTTTGATAGTCACTGACTGAAAATTGACAATATAAACCTACAAAGACTTCAGGGACGATGACACTTCAGAAACGAGTGTACTGAATGTATAGTGTATACTGTCTGTTTCCTTCTATTCAATATTGCCTGCTTTGATCCTTTTTTCTTTGCCAAATCATTTAATAAGATTACAGTACCCTGCATATCCATAGAATCCATTTTCCTTTTATGAAACACGAGCAAGGTTAAAATTTGTTCAATCTCAGATAAAATGGATTAACGGATTTTAAAGTATAATTAATTTTTTTGTATTACCCACATCTGCATGTAGGGATGGGCATCTACCCACATCACCATGTAGGGATGGACATCTACCCACATATTCATGTAGAGATGGGCATCTATCCACATCTCCATGTAGGGATGGGCATCTACCCACATCTCCATGTAGGGATGGGCATTTACCCACATCTCCATGTAGGGATGGGCATCTACCCACATCTCCATGTAGGGATGAGCATAAACCCAATTCTCCATGTAGGGATGGGCATACCCACATCTCCATGTAGGGATGGGCATCTACCCACATCTCAATGTAGGGATGGGAATCTACCCACATCTCCATGTAGGGATGGGAATCTACCCACATCTCCATGTAGGGATGAGCATAAACCCAATTCTCCATGTAGGGATGGGCATCAACCCACATCTCCATGTAGGGATGGGCATCTACCGACATCTCCATGTAGGGATGGGCATCTACCCACATCTCCAGATAGGGATGGGCATCTACCCACATATCCAGATAGGGATGGGCATCTACCCACATATCCAAATAGTGATGGGCATCTACCCACATCTCCATGTAGGGATGGGCATCTACCCACATCTCCATGTAGGGATGGGCATCTACCCACATCTCTATATAGGGATTGGCATTGTTTTCAAAACCGATCGGAAAAATTATTGTTTTAGGTTTCGTTTTGGATTTTTCAGAACTAACTAACATTCATTTTTAGAAAAAAAGAATTGGTAAAACTAACAAAGTGTCAGTTTTAAGCTTTAAAAAACAAAAAGCGAAAGGACAAAATTATAGTTCTGAAGCAAAAAGGATTTTTTTGTTTAAATTTTATATGCTAGAATTGCATTAAGTATATCTTTGACAAAAATAGGTAAAAATCTTTTGAAATTCTTAAAATTTACTATTTTAAACATCTCTGAATTCCGAAATAAATTCATTTTTATTATTACATCCATGACAACGGAACAGACAGAAAATGACCCCTCTGTTAGGAATTTTGAACCAAATGTTCGTCATTTTGAAAAACATTTGGTGATTGTTATAGGGTGTAAAGAAAGTAATGCATCAGACTGCTTAAACAAAAAATGGCGATGAACCTGGTACTGAAAGAAAGTGTTCAAAGATAAAGTCTGAAACAACGTTTATGCAGGATGGAGGTTGACGTCTTAACGCTGCCACAAGCCTCCAGTGGCTCCAGGACCACCAGGTTACTTTTGGGGGAAGGAGAAATGGCGTCCTAACTCTTTAGACCTCAATCCAATCGAACTCTGTGGAGATGAAGTCGGAAAAGAATCAGTCTCAGAAAATTTTGCTCAATTGGAAAAGCGACTGAAGAGATCTTGGAGAAACATCAGCCCCAGGCAGACACTGGAGAACCTTAGCTTAAGAATGGGATATCCTTAAACCCGATCGCTTAATCTGAGTATCAAATGTGCACACTATTGATTTTCTTCTTAATCCTCTCTGATTAAAAGGTAAGTTTGATAACAATTACGGATACGATGCTATATCGACAGGACTAATATTCTATTGAACTAAAGTCAGCTGTATACAAGCCGGCTTTTAGAGCATTTAAACAAATATAAATGTTATCATGTTATTATGAACATATAAAAAACATATTCTATCACATTTCAGGACTGTAGTTATTTTGAATGTTAGTCTTAATAAACATTTATCCAAAACTTACATAAGTTCAATCGATCATTAGTTTAATTGATATGACACCACAACTGCGGGAAAATTAAAAACCGGTTTTTCAAAGGTTTAAAGGTAGTGTTCGTGAAAAATGAAAGGGGGTATAGGCTTAAAGGGAGTGTTCGCGAAAAATGAAAGTGGGTATAGGCTTAATGCGATAAAAAAGCGCTTTTGATCGCTACTAATCTTACTTTTATCTGTTGCGTCTATAAGGAGAAAATTGATAAAGACGTCTCATACCGAAGAGCGCAGCGCCCATACAAATTGAGGAAGTTGGAACATACGACTTAGACCGTAAAAAAATCAAATTAATATCAAACAAATTATTCAGATATTACAACCTATAGTCATCGATTATCTTTCGCCACATTTGTATATATTTAATATTTATACTAGTTTTGATTTTGTTTTAAAAATAATATTTAGCTTACAACTTGTTTTCGAACATTCCTGGAAAATATGAAAATGTCGTCTTCATTACCAAAAATCCTCGAAACAGGAATAAACGTTTTTACAAGTAACTCTCAGATCATAACAATTAAAACATATTATGAAAAATCAACTATATATAAATGTGGCAAAAGATAATCGATGACTATAGGTTGTAATATCTGAATGATTTGTTTGATATTAATTTGATTTTTTTACGGTCCAAGTCGTATGTTTTAATTTCCTCAATTTGTATGGGCGCTACGCTCTTCGGTATGAGACGTCTTTAACAACTTTCTCCTGATAGACGCAACAGATAGAAGTAAGATTAGTGGCGATCAAAAGCGCTTTTTTATCGCATTAAGCCTATACCCCCTTTCATTTTTCACGAACACTCCCTTTAATGCGATAAAAAAGCGCTTTTGATCGCTACTAATCTTTCTTCTATCTGTTGCGTCAATATGGAGAAAATTGTTAAAAACGACTCACACCGAAGAACGTAGTGTCCATACAAATTCAGACAGATGCAACATTCAACTCGGATCGTAAACAAATCGATTTAATTCCAAACAAATCATTCAGATATTACAAACAATAGTCATTGATTATTTTTCGACGCATCGTAAATAGTTGATATTTTATAATATTTTGTATTTTTCATGATCTGAGAGTTAATTTTAAAAACATTTATTCCTGTTTCGAGGATTTTTGATAATGAAGACGATATTTTCATATTTTTGTAAGAATGTTCGAAAATCCAGCGCCAGCGAAAATTATTTTTAAAAAAAAATCAAAAACATTATGAAATATTAAGTCATTAACTATATACGAATGTTTGCAATATCTGAATGATTTGTTTGGAATTAAATTGATTTGTTTACGATCCGAGTTGAATTTTGCATCTTTCAGAATTTGTTAGGACGCTGTGTTCTTTGGTATGAGTCGTTTTTAACAATTTTCTCCTTATAGACGCAGCAGATAGAAGTAAGATTAGAAGCGATCAAAAGCGCTTTTTTATCGCATTAAGCCTATACCCCCTTTCATTTTTCGCGAACACTCCCTTTAACTTTTGAAAACCCGGTTTTTATATCTGGTGTTGATGGTGTAATATTAATTAAACTAAACATCGATTGAACAAATGTAAATTTGGATTAATGTTTATTAAGATTAACGTTCAAAATGACAAAGTCCTGAAATGGGATAAAATATGTTGTTTAATAAGTTCATATTAACATGATTAAATTTGTATTTGTTTAAATGCTCTAAAAGCCGGCTTGTGAACAGCTGACTTTAATTCAACCGGATTGTAACAATCTAGGTCCCGAGTATTCGTTAACTACTTGTCTCTAACTCTAAATCTTCAGTCAATCATGACTATCTTCGTAGCCTATCCAGGCTAAAGACGTCCGTTTAAAACAAAGATTCATATGATACTAATTTATTGATAACAGGTAAATATAGATTGACCGGTCGGGCCGGTCAGGGTTGAACAAAACATAGAGAATATAGATAGGTGAACTAAACACAACCCCATGAATTTATTACAGGATATTAGTCCAATCGATATAGCATTGTATCTGTAATTGTTATCAAGCGTAACTTTTATACAGTAGGAATATCCAAAAAAAGAAGATAAGGAAGAAATCAAAAGTGTGTACATTGTTTTCTCAGATTAAGCGATCATGATTAAGGATATCCATCATTCTAAAGTTTTCAGCTCTGGTCTCATAAATGCCAAACAGTGTAAAAGATGACTATAATAGTCAGGGTCATAATGTAATAAAAGATAATCATAATTAACGATTTTTTGCGCATCTAGAACATTCTTTGAGTGATGCATTACTTTCAGTTTCTTATCACCCTGAGCTGTGGTTCGATACTATAACGAGCAATTGATGTTATTTAGGATTTCTTTTAATTGTATATTTTACTGTACATATGTACATATCTGTATAAAAGGAGCAAAGGAATACTTCATCAAGTGATCTATCATCACTGCAAACCAGAGAAAGTCAAGTTTATGAGACATTACTTGTACCATTTTGTGAACTCGTAACTCGTCTTTAAGTTTTGATCTTAGATGAGAAAAATTATCCGGTTACATGCAGGGTGTCCCACGAAACATGACAGCTGGTGAAAAGTTTTGAATGTCTTCTTCCATATACTGTATTAGAAATTGAAGACTTTTTGTAGTTTATTTCGTTTTAAAAATCTTCTACTCAAATATATTTTACTTTGAAATCAATTTTACTGTAAGATGACTCCCATACAATATTTTCTATTATTCTCTTTAGTATCAAACAACTTAACAAATTATGGAAGAAGACATTTTAAACCATTCACTAACTGTCATGTTTCGTGGGACACCCTGTATTATAAATTTAAAACACTCATGTTTTTCTTAATAACTCTTCAATAAGATGACTTATGATAGAAAACATTTATGATTTCAATCATACGGGCAATTTTCTTTAATTTGACCTAATATCAATTTAAAACCGGGACAAATATCATATAAAATTTGTGATTTAAAAAAACAGTTATACAAAGTTTTTGTACGCCTAAAGCAGGGTGAATAATTCTACGAAAAAAATGGATATCAACTTGCTAGTTATCCACCTTTTAGAAAATTGTTATATATGTTTTCTCCCCAAAAAATATTTTTTTTCTCAAATCAGCGAACATATTAACCCCTGGACTTAAGTGTACTATACTCTATTGTCCGAGACTGAGATATATGTATTGAATGCTGAGATATATGTATTGAATGCTGAGATATATGTATTGAATGCTGAGATATATGTATTGAATGCTGAGATATATGTATTGAATGCTGAGATATATGTATTGAATGCTGAGATATATGTATTGAATGCTGAGATATATGTATTGAATGCTAAGATATATGTATTGAATGCTGAGCAAAATTAATTAAATATTTACCTTTATTGTTGCAATGTCGGGCATCTCACCGCATTCTAGGCTACCGTTCAAACCTGGGCATAGATAATACAAGATTATTTTCATTTTTCACGGAAATTTAGACGAAAAAGTACAAGATCAATTTTACTTTTCACTGTAATCTAGACGGGAAAAAAGCGGACATAGACATAAAAAAAGATTAATTTGGCTTCACGGTAAATCAGACAAAAAATCATACTTGCACCGAAAACTTCAGTATTATGGATATCTTGTTAATTCTTGTTAATCTGCAGATTAATTTAGTCTTTATTCCGATTGATAGAATTGTCAATTAGCCGAAAATAAATTTATTTTTGTTATAGACATTTACTAGTTTTGGGTAAAACACATAGTTAGAGCTTAGCACCTTTTTTACCTTGTTTTTTTTTTAACATTAAAAGATTTTTATGTCTGATAGGAATCTAAGATCTACATCTTTACTTTTATTACATTGTGCAAAACCGTACTCGGACAGAAGACATCAAACAAAACAACTTGACAAGATTTTTTCATATTTTGTTTTGGGTCTAATATTATTAATATGTTATTAAAGTTAGAACAAACTGGAAATCTGTACAGTTTATGTACACAGGCTAAAAAATAGATAAACTGTGTTTTTTTTTATTAAAAATTGTTTCTTTGCTATTTATTCAGATTCGGAGCTTTTTTGTTTGCTGTGAAGTAAATTTTTTCCCCAGCTTTCTCAACTATAGAATTAATGCCTTTTAATTATGAATAACGACTGCTAAATACGTCATTATTAACGGNACGATTAACTGATACCTGTAATGTCTGCTGAACCCCTCGATTAAAAGAAATAGTTTACCTCCCCCTGGAGGATTTTTTTTCGACTTAATTCCACTCTATACTTATCTATTCTCTTTCAATATGTACAGTACAAGGTGTCCCAATAAACATGCTAGATGACTTTAAAGTCGTCTTTGATTTCTGATATAAAAGGCATGGCACAGAAAGTATAAGAACGAGGCTGTACGTCTGACGAGCTTTTCATAAAGTTTTCTGCATTTTTACCTCTCATGTCTTAATAATTGACGACATTATTAGATATATTAAGACAATTTTGATTTATTAAATAAATTGAAATTTGTACAATTTCTGCAATATCTCCGTCAATTTTGACGATATAAAAATGATAAACCACATTTTGAAAATCTCAAGACCAGGCGTTTTCGACATTAGATGTTAATCAACTGGAATACTGCAATAATTGTGCTCATTAAAAAATCCACCATGGATCGAAGACGATATAAAAGTCGTCACTTGATTTTATGTTTATGTTTGTGTTACTAGCGGCCAAGGATATTTTTTTTTGTAAATCTAAATTCAATGGGCCGGGAAAAGTGAGGGCAGGGGGGGGGGTTGGAGCAAGGGCTCACCCCGGGAAAAATTATCTCCCTAAAGGAAAACATTAAGACTTGGTTCAACCCTTGTAAATAATGCGCAATAAAAAACATTCTGTCTCATAAAATAAAATAAGTCGGTTGTATAAACGGATATGTTTCTTTAAGTACAAAATAGTTTTTTTAATCCCAAATAGCATAAAAGTTTTAAAGAAGTAAATGATTTATTTTTAGTTAGAAGAAGTTTGCACCTAATAGTTTGCACCTAATAGTTTGCACCTAATAGTTTGCATCTAATAGTTTGTACCTAATAGTTTTCACCTAATAGTTTGGACCTAATAGTTTGCACCTAATAGTTTGCACCTAATAGTTTGCCAACTTTTAACTTGAAGCAACAAAACACAATCTAGCTTTTTCATTATCTTCCAGTTCTCAGAAATTAAATTTAATCATGAAATTTTGACTTACATTGTTGAAAAAAAAACTTTTGTTCGTAATATCGACCTATCGAAGGTATATTTCAAATTCTAGACATTTTAATTATTCAAACTCATAAACAGAATTTTTATAACCATGAACTAATTTCGGATAAAATGTCCGTAAATTCAAAATACTTGGGACTGTAAGCATAATTTCAAGTGACCCTGCATGCAAAGAGGGCTTTGCCTGATTTACAACGGTAAACTTAAAACTTTGACTGTTCATCGAGTAAAAATAGCTCTCTGTTTTAACATAAACCCACGGAACCCGCTTAAATTCCTCTAAACTGAAAGGACGTCACATCAATGCCACGTGTATATTAGTAAAAGTACATCGACTGGTTTGTTCCGGTAAATCTTCTAGTCCTATTCTAGATTGATAGAAGTCTTATAAAAATAGTTTATGGTCCTAATGTTTTCGTAATCTTTTGATTGAATCCTTTTCCTGATCCTGAATCTGGTTAGAACCAGTTTGTGCAGATCCGCCATTAAGTTATTTCAAGTGACCCTCCATTAATAGAATGGCATGCCAAATTGACAACGGTACGTTATAAGATCAAAGATAATTGAGATATCCCAAAGACTGTAGAATAGTAGAAGATACGGCATTAGGAATTTTTCTGAACAGTGTGTACGCTCTGTACACTTTTATATGACGTCATTGGCTGCAGTATTGGTTTTAAATTCAAACCAGTGGCGTAAATAAGGGGGGTTATTGGGGTTACTTACCCCCCCCCCCTAGAATCCTGAGGCCCCTAGAATTTTTTTTAAAAAAGGTTGATTTTAAAATTGAATATCTTTTAAATTTGCACGAAAACAATTAAAATGTGCACTGTGCAGATACGTCGGAA